TGTCCGAGTGGTGTATATATGCAGAACTGACACATCTATCTGTGAATAATATATATGCCCAGGGTGGGACCATGGCATTGGTGTCTATTGTCACAGAGGTTGCCACTGTTTTTTATCATACATGATGATTTAGTCATGAGGGCTAAGTGTTCCCTTACGTCAGCAGTTTTTGAGTGGTGCTATTAGCCCCACATGTGCACAATATCGCTGGTCATGTTCACCATGCAGTTGTGCTGTTAACCTGTACGTGCATATCGATCATGATTAATAGGATTTCATAAGGAGTTGTACTGTTCGAGACTGGCGTGATGACAGTGGAACATTATATAGTTTTTCTTACATCAGATACAGTGATAAGATAACAAGATACAGCGAGAACTATGTGCCAGGTCAGCACACACTGATGGTGTTGCTGTGGAAAACCCAAATAGATTAAATGTAGACCTGAATTTTACCCACACGACAAATCATGATTAGTGAGTAAGCGATATGGAGTTTAACATCTGTTACTGATCTAAATAGCTTTTGAGCTGGACAAGTTCATGTCAGTATTATGAGGGAAGAATGTCTGAGATTATGAAGACATTTGTCACCATGGTTAAACCCATGAGAATTGGAATGGTGTTAGACCACAGATCCTGTAAGGATGAAAATATACAAAAATGTATATCCTCATGCACATGATACAAGTGAGTGAGTGAGTTCGGGTTTATGCCACATGTAGTAATATTCCCGCAATATCATGACAGGGGCCACCTAAAATGGCCTTTACAAACTCACTGTATCCATGTGGGGAATCAAACCCAGGACTTCAGAACAACGAGAAAACACATTAACCAGGAGCACATGTGATACATATGGTCTCACCTTAGGCAAGTGAGTTTGTTCAAAATTGCCTCTGTTCACCCAGCAGAAAATGGGTACCCGGTGGGACTATTAACCCTCTAGCACCTAACAGGCAGCTTGGGTTATCCAGGGTAATAATGATCAGATTGTGCGCTTTGAGCAGGATCTTTATACTGAAAAGGCATGTTATAAATATTATCATTATTATTATCATTATTAACCACTAGGCTCCCCGACTGCCCCTTATCCTGTCAGTGTGAAGCTATCCTGCTGGTCTGTACAACTAAGGGATACAACTCTGCAGCAGCCTTAACACTGGGACAGTCATCCCCACCTTGCAAGGGTCATGTAATGAACACAGATGACATTACTTATGTAAATACAGACTGTATGCAAATGTATGCAATAATATTCATGAAAGGTCAACATACAATGTCACAGAAGGTTATCTTTAGCAGAGATTTAACTTACCGGGAGATTAAAGGTCAACAACTCGCACAGAAAACTACACAGGTGACAGAGTGTTAACTTACATAGGTTTAACTTTCGGGGGGATAGGATGTCGCCTTGCATTGATGATAGATGATGGAGGGTTAATGTACCAGATGATACAGGGTTAATATCAGGATATAGGACGTCAATTTACCAGGGGAAGACATGTTTAACTTACAGAGGATTAATGCACTCATTAAGCTACTCCTAGTCATCACAATCAAGGATTGTTACAGTGTGTAAACATTACTGACACAAAGTTTGCAAACATCTTTTAGGAAAATATTTTACCTGATGAAGTGGCTGCAATAATTCTGTTTCCTTTCACTGAGTTGCAGAATTTTTGTTGTCTTTATTAAAACAGTCGTTTAAGCTTTCCTTCTAGCCCAAAGAAAGCAGAGTTGCCTTCATATTCCAGCTATATGGTGGCGGTCTGTAAATAATCGAGTCTGGACCAGACAATCCAGTGATCAACAGCATGAGCATCGATCTGCGCAAATGGGAACCGATGACATGTGTCAACCAAGTCAGCGAGCCCGACCACCCGATCCCGTTAGTCGCCTCTTACAACAAGCATAGTCGCCTTTTGTAGCAAGCATGGGTTGCTGAAGACCTATTCTACCCCGGATCTTCACGGGTCATAACAGCTTGAAAACGGACAGCCAACCACTTCCTCAACACTTCAGCTGTTTTGTTTCTCCTTGCTTTGTATCTTCTTGGTGATCAGAACAGCCAAGGTATTCACTACAAAGTTATACAAAGGTTTGTGTGTACAAAGATGCTAAAGAAAACATCACATTGCTATTGTAATATATTATTTTAGGTTGATTTGATACGGAAAATGTAAGAGTGAAAGTATGACTATTTTATTTCCTTCATATTGTAAAAATATTCATCCTGCTCGCAAAATAAAGACCTGATTCTTATAATAGCAATGAGGCTTATAATACAATTTGAATTCAACATTGCTTGACAAACAGCCACAACATGTGGTCACCTACAGTGACACCAGTTTCACAAATATACCAGCTATATGGGGGCAGAGTGCTTGGAAGACAACTATGGATTATACACAGAGACACTTGATTCCTGGTTGAGACAATCTGCTATCTGCCCTTGGCCATAATAACACCAGTTAGTCATTCCATGGACGTCATAGTACTCTCTGCCTAAGCCTGATCTCAGAACATCAGGAGAGATGGCAGCGTGAAGACTTGTTACAACGCATGATTAAATGAGAGACCCAATTGCCCTGTAAACCTCGCGTTACTTCCCATGTCTGTCCTGGCCATGGAAGGTGATAGATCTACAATGACAAGCTAAGCCTTCTTGTCAGCTTCATCATTGATTTTCCTGCAAGTTGTTACCGATGGCGCTCTTCAGTACAGGACATCTTCAAGGTGTCGTCCATACAATGGAGACTAGTGACACATCTTGGGCTCCAATTAGTGATAACACCATGCCAGGCTATTTTGTCTGTCATTACCGATGATGTACAGTACATAATGAAATCAAAGGATGCAATCTATGCATTCATAATGATTTGTAATGACTGACTGAAGTTTGGATGCAATATTCCAGCATCTCACGGCGGGGACACCAGAAATGGGACATTGTACCCATGTAACCCGGGTCTTATAACGCTTTAACCACGAGGCTACCCCACGCCCCATTTGTATCTGGACATAGTGGACTCCAATAAACTAGAACGAAACATACAACTTTATGGATGATACCTTCTTGTTTATTGCATAGAGCGACTTTTCAGTGTAGATTATTACACCTTTTTCAAGCTAAAAGTGATAACGGTGTAAGAATCTACACCAAAACATTGCTTTATGCAATAAACAAACTGCCATCTATAAAGTTGCATGCTTCATTACTGACTCACCAACTCCTAGAATTCCGATTGAACAAATCCAGTAAACTATGTTTATAAGGAACCAAGATAAATTGAACTTAATGACAAACTTTTATCTGGTCATGGCCACTTACTTTTTTTTCGATTGGAAATGTGGTTATAACAAATTGAAACATGTGGTCACTTTCAGTTCGCTATTACTGTAGTTTGCTGTAAGTTTCCATGTCAAGTTTGTTGTGCACGAGTGGAACCAATGGCCAACATGGGTACCATAACGTTCACAAAAAAGACTTAGTGTTTATCACCAACTTCCTTGTCAAATGTAGTCCCTTGTTTACACAAGTTGATCAAGCAGTCATGACAGCCATGTGGGACAGTGTCTGTATTCCGGGTAAACTTGTTACATAATGTATAAGTACAACACTTCCTACCCCCACATTAAACATGTCCAGTACAGCAACATCAGTGGTGGTGAATACATGACACTGATGATTTACCTGTGATAACACCTACAACCTGGCAATCTTCATCAGTAGCCCCGCCTGATTCAGCTGCTGATTAGTTTATATAGCTCTAAGCCAGAGCTACTCATATCAATTTAATGATACATTTCAGGCCTGGGGTGACACTCAAATTAATTTGTTGACTTCTAATAACCCAATGAAGGTATTTTTTGGGTGTTTGTTTAATTCTGCACTTAGCAATATTCAGAGTGTATCAATCTGCCTGTAAATGATCAAATCTGGACCAGCTAAACCATTGATTGATATTACGACCATTGTTCCATACTTTGGGGTACCATGATACACAATCAAATAAGTCATCGAGTCCTTCAGTGCTGGAGATCCGTTCTAACCCAGAATCCCTAAGCCTGAATTATATTCAGCACATCTCTAAAAAGTTGATGAATTGGTCAATCTGAGGTTTGAAATCAGTCCCATTTCACATCAAGGAATTTAACGGTCACTTGGTCTGATGGATCAGCTCATTTTCAACTCCTTCAACATTAATGATACCACAATCATTAACTTACCTATATTCATATAACAACAATGGAATAGGAATACCTAAAGATATAGACCAGCTTGAACAACACACCACCTTCCTGTAAAAATATAACATTTTTGGTTTGGTTTCTAGGCCAAGTGCGTGCAATGAAAAATTGTACATACAAACTGATAAGGTTTTCAGTTGTTCGTGATGTTGACCATTGTCAAAAACATGCTCTGCTGAACACAATCATTACACATGGAAACTTGGCATCAGGATGAGCAGTATGGCTACAGTCTGTTTTCTTTTGGCCAATTTTTTTTTTGAAGCATTTCAAACATTTCAAACTGACTTACAGTGTGTGCACTATCTTTTACTTTAATAACTCCTTAAATGCCAAAAAAACCAACTGTTGAAGTCAGTTCTTACTGTCACATAATGTGATTGTAATGTTTTACTTTACCAAAGTTACTACTAGCTGTGCTGTTTAACCCTTTTTTATGGTTTTTAATAAATTAAGGCATGTTTTACTCATATCAAGTGAAAAAACACCAGTCTTTTTCAAGGGTCTACAGTAATGGTATTAAAATAATGTTCTCACAAATGTGAGATCAACTTAATAAACAACAACAAATGAGGGAGCTGGAAGGATTAATGCTGCTTTTAGCAGGGGGACACAAGGAATGGACTTCACAGGGTGTAAGAATGTGGGGAATGGAATCCGGTTCTTCAGCAAATACTTTAACCACTGGGTTACCCAACTGTACTACACAGGAGAATACATGTACATGTACTCTGATTAAGATAGGAGATACTGAAACATGGTTTTATTTGAACATAAGGCCAGACCAATTTTATTTCTTGTTTTACACATTTTTGGCCTCAGAAAACCTAAACGCAGGAGGGGGAAAAAAATATTTAAAAAATCACCAGTCAAAGTAATGTTCCTTATAAATGCAAAGAGTATTTTACTTTTGGCAATTTATGAAGTGTATATGGGGTAAAAAACAATCTAAATAAAGATTTCTTGTAAGTTTACATTTTTGGCCAATAAAAACATTAGGATTTTATTTTTTGAGCAGGGCCTAACGAAAAAAAAAAAGATTTATGCTTTAAAATGCCCAGACTTTTTTTTCTTCTTTTGGGGGGTTAGAAATGGAAAAAGTTATCAGGTATGTTTATATGATGATAATTACACCTCTATCACTTGAAAGTTTTGAAATAATAACACGATTGCATGAAAATGATTATTTTTATAACTGTACATCTGTCTGTGACACAGCATGAGTTCTTGCTCTGCGTTTCCTGCAAAAGTACTTCAGCTTAGGTCATAGCTTGCATATGTTCAAACATCAAGAAAAAACAATCTCTAATCAGAACTTTTTGACACATGTTAGCATTACCTCTACATCTGACACTATTGCACGTTCAAAACATGTTGTGTTGAAAAGAACATGTTTAAATTTCATTCACTGTAACATAACAAAACATATCCCAACTCACTATTTCTCAGCACTTGGCTAGGAGTCAGCTATTATCAAATCATATTTTTCGACAGCTTGCATATTTTAAGAATGACTAAGAGATATACCATGTGTAATCTTTGAAGGACAGTGACGTGGGCCTTTTGATAAGTTTCTCTTCACACCACATGGAATTACCATTAGGGCACTGACTTGGGTCATCTTATCTTTTTGGAATCTTGCAAACTTGACAATTTAGGTCTTTGATTTTTCTTTCGCTGAACTTAATAACAGTTATTCATATAGGTATCTATAAAACTTTATCGTCATGAGGTGGATTTAGAGCTGACCATGTTCACATCAATTATCATCTCAAAAAGACAAAACATGTTAGATCTGCTGATGATTAAAAAAGATTGAACCTGGAATTATCATTTTCCAAATTCCTGATAGCATAAAGACAGAGCTGCCAGACTTGTATTATTTCAGTTTGAGATCAACAGTTGGGTAAGATGTGGTGATACAGCTACGATTTCCATACAGAGATTAACAACTACAACAGGCTGGGGTAAGGACAAGGGATGAGGCTTGGAACACCAAGCTGTCTGAATACTGCTCCTAAAATATGCTAAAAAATGATCATTTTAAGGGGGTTGGGGGTTGAGGTCACTCATTTTGTTCTGGGGAGGTAGGTGGGTCATCAATTTTGTACACATGTACTGGGGTGGGGGAGGGAAAGCAATTTTGTACATAAAATTATGAAAAGATCATTCTTAGAAATTATGAGAGGTGGGGGTAAATGATTTTGTACATGACATGCAGGGAGAGTCACTTACTTTGTACATTAATTTTAGGGAGGGTGTCATTCATTTAGTACATGCATCTCTATAACAATCATCATCGCCCCCCTTTTATCTTTTTGTATGACAGTCATAACTCTCATTTTGTATGACAGTGTTGTATGATACCATACTCTCATCATGTTCCATGTTATGACAGTCACCATACTCTCACATTGGCCTTTTGTTGTATGACAGTCAGCATACTCTCATCCATGTTCCGACACATCTGCCTTTTGTTGTATGACAGTCAGCTCTCATACTCTCATCCATGTTCGACAGTCACCACATCGGCCTTTTGTTGTATGACAGTCAGCTTACTCTCATCCATGTTCCGACACACATGGCCTTTTGTTGTATGACAGTCACCATACTCTCATCCATGTTCCGACACATTGGCCTTTTGTTGTATGACAGTCAGCAGGTCAGCTACTCATCCATCCATGTTCCAGTTGTATGAGCTTACTCTCATCGGCCTTTTGTTGTATGACAGTCAGCATACTCTTTTCCATGTTCCGACACATCGGCCTTTTGTTGTATGACAGTCAGCTTACTCTCATCCATGTTCCGACACATCGGCCTTTTGTTGTATGACAATCAGCTTACTCTCATCCATGTTCCGACACATTGGCCTTTTGTTGTATGACAGTCAGCTTACTCTCATCCATGTTCCGACACATCGGCCTTTTGTTGTATGACAGTCAGCTTACTCTCATCCATGTTGGCTTTTGTTGTATGACAGCTTACTCTCATCCATGTTCCGACACATTGGCATTTTGTTGTATGACAGTCACCATACCCCACATCCATGTTTCGACACATCAGCCTTTTGTTGTAAGCATTGGCATTTTGTTGTATGACAGTCACCATACTCTCATCCATGTTCCTACACATCGGCCTTTTGTTGTATGACAGTCACCATACTCTCATCCATGTTCGACACATTGGCCTTTTGTTGTATGACAGTCACCATACTCTCATCCATGTTCGACACATCTGCCTTTTGTTGTATGACAGCTTACTCTCATCCAAACCAAACTGAAAGTCAGCCTACTCTCATCCATGTTCCGACACATCGGCCTTTTGTTGTATGACAGTCAGCTTACTCTCATCCATGTTCCGACACATCTGCTTTTTGATAATTCTTTGTTGTTTCATACCATTTGGTGGCAACATGGACTTAACTGAGGGTGGACCACACAATCCAGTGATTGATGTCATGAGCAACAGTCCTTGGGACCAGGGCTTGATTACACTCAATGACCCCAATCACCAAGCCTGACTACCCAAGCAACAAGTCACCTCTTACAACCATGAGAGGTTCCGAGGTGATGTTACAAAGCAATAGTAACACTGTGATTGCCATAAACTGATGTTAAAGTATAGGAATTCTGATCATCTTAGCACTTTGAGGAATGGGGACCTGTTGTCCCATTTTAACTAATTCCCCCTGGGACTATGCTGAATTTATTATAGGAGATAATGCAATGTATACACAGAGCAGCACCAGTATCACCATTTTTAAGGTCAGCTGATCAGAGAAGCAGACAAGGCTGTATACATATATATTTCTTAGTTTATAGAATGTCATGATCCTGGTAAGTAATTAGAAAATAAATAGATAAAAAAACATGTCATCATATTTTTATATTCTTCAAACAGTCTTCTAAATGGGAGTAGGACATAAATTTACGTAATGTTGTCTTTGAACCTATATTGTCTGTTAATTGACATTAAAAAGTAATTATACATTTAGGTTTATGTCCGCCTTTTCATTCGTTTAGTGTCAGTGGAATCCGTACCTGTGTAAATAAATCATGTCTCCTAAAAAATATGGCCTGAGTGATCATAAGGTGGAGGGTTGTAACGATGGCCTGAGTGGTGTTTTCAGGACATTAACTGGAATATCTGGTGAATACCTTTGACATCAATGGTTCTTGTGCTTGTATATTGCAGACAGTCAGATTTATGACAGTGTAATTATCATCTCTTTAGTTCTCAAGTAATTATGCCTTGGTCGTAAAGCAACTATTCTCTCTGTCTCATTAACACTGGTATTCTGACATGCTAATTACAACATGTCGATATAGTTGATAATACAGTCATACAGAATTTGTGCATTTCTTTGACAGAGTAATTAGCATCTACTAGTCTCTATAGCAACAGATGCATTGATATTACCATACTGTTAGCACACATCAACATTTGTGAATTATAAACTATTGCAACTTATTTTATCAGGACATGAAATAGTTATCAAAATTTTATCAAATTGTGAGGTGGAAGCCATTTTTAGAAACATTAGTTGAGACACTGTTCTGTGTACAGTTACTGTCAATCATGTAATTGTTATGAAGCACAGGTGTTTGATTGGCATAAGTACAGGTGTATTACATCAAGTAAGAAAGAAATTAATTCAGGCAGCAATTGTCTGCATGTGTAGGTGATGATGTGAGGGGTGTTTGGTAGTAAGGCAGGGTGTTTGGTGATTGGGTTAACCATTTACTCTTGGTTACAATGTAAAAACATATATTCCATAGTGGAAAACACATTTTGGCCTGATCAAAGCTGTGATTATTGTGTCCCACAGTCATATTCAGTCATTTTCAATTCACTTCTACAACTACAAAAATACAAATCCAAATATTTTGTTGAAAATGAAATTTTCATAAGGATTCCATATACTGAAAATCTAAACCAACAGCTATGACTGCCATCTTGTTTCCTATACCACTACTGCAGCGATTAAGGCATGAATAGCCATACCAAATTAACCATTTTAGGTAATACTATTATAACTTTACTCTGCAAAGGAATGTGTACTAATCAGAAATTAAAATCTGATAAAAATTCATTCTAAATGTCCTCAAGATATTCTTACAATTTGGCAATAACATTGTAGAATGCCATACAGTCCTACAAAAAGTAATGCAATCTTGAAAATGTCCTAATGACATTTATCAGTGTAAAGTCACTGTGAAGGTCAGTGTACAATCACTGAATATGTCAGTAATATTTTTTTTTAAATTGAAAACATTCTCAGTTCCTTCATTAATAATAAACACTCGTATATAACTATATATTCCATCTTGTTATATATATAGATCCAGCTCCCTTTCATTTATCTGACATCACCTGTCGACACATGGGAAAACCTACCTCGTCTATATTGGTGACGTCACACACCCCATGTCCTCTACATACTCCAATGATGTCATCATCTTTGGGGAACGGCTATGTATGTGAGCCATGTCTGAACCCAGTAACTTTTGCCATGGTCATTCACGGTTGATTGAAAGCACTCCTGTCCCTAAAGTGGGCGTCGCCTCAAAAACCAATCGGGCACCTGCGAAGTTGCCGGTCCGGTCATCGCGTTGACTTGTCTGTCAGCAGCTCGTATTCTTCGAACGAATGAACCACACACTTACTTAATGTGTTAATTGTAATGTGTACTACTTTAAGACCACATTTTCACGATAAAATTACAAAGAATATCAGTAAACGAAGTTACTACTATTTTTCCCAGCTGTGTTGGCAAAATGATGTCATACTCGGGCTAACCAATAACATACCGTCATCCTGACCTCAATGCGCACGGCTCGCGAGCCTGGCGTGGAAGAAAAGTCAGCCATTTTGCCTCACGGAATTTCGGAAGTGTTTGGAGAAAATATACAATTGTGGGATGCAGAAACGCAGGGTAATTTTGCCTAGATGATGGCGTGTACCATGAAGATTAGAACTGGGGTAGAATAGACTTTTCATGGCCAGATTCGTCAGGAGCAAAACACACGAAAATTCAGGGGGGCCAGGCTTCCTGTCAGACTCGGCTCAGCCCGTCAGCCTTAGCGACCTGTTCTAGGCACAAAAGATTGTCTTGAAAACAATTTTCTGGATCTGTTGCGTTGACTCGGATTAATGTGTGTCAGTTTAATCAGTGTTGGACCTTTCTTGGGGACGAAGTTATTGTTTTTGCAGCTTATTTCTGCAGTTCATTAGCGCTAGCATCCCAATTATTTATTCAAAATGTCTACCACAACTCGGACCCCCCTTCAGCCGCTCCCCGAGTCGGTGACAGTAGATCTCCACGTAAGTGCCTCGGTGTTATGTCGAATTTGAGTGTGGTATGTGTTTTGAGTTTTTATCATTGTATGTCAATGTTCAGTATTGCACATCTGATCAATTTCTGTTGAAGGCAACGGATGACAATCCGAACCGGGACCCACGAATCACCAGACCCCGAACCACAGATGAGCCCCACATAGGGAAATACCGGCTCATCAAAACGATTGGGAAGGGAAATTTTGCAAAAGTCAAACTTGCCAAGCATGTGCCAACTGGAAGAGAGGTAATTGACCATATGATGTGGGATAATTAGGCCATGAAAAGGAGTGAAAACAATGGCCTACTAAAATGGTTCACTTTCGCTGTCAAATCAGCTGATTGCATTTGCCCACAGAGTAGGCTCGGTGTCAAGTCCCCACAGAGCTTGTTGTTGGCATTGCATAACCATAAGAAACAACAAAACTTTTTCATATTTTTATATGCTTATCTCATTGTTTGAAATGAATCGTACATTGACACAATTCAGCTGTGAGTGATTCATGACTCCATTTGACATTGAACTCCTAAGACACTTTTGTGTGCCCAACACAGTGTATCTAGTGTTTGCTTTGTAACAGAAAAACAAAAGTAATGATTATATAATATTTTGGACAATTCTGAAATATGAACTGACAGTAGATTTTTGTAGTTATAATATATTCTAAACCTACCTAACCTCATTCTTGCCTACCATTTCAAGGCCAGGTCTGTTAGCCTGAGACTACTGGAAATCTAAAAGAAATAATTCTGTTTCATAATCACTAGTTCCTAAGAGCTGTAAACTTATTGGATGTGATCAGTTGTATCTGCCTCTATTATGTATATTGTGTGGTTGTTTTGGAAATCATATAAGAAAATATTGATTATGTATGTGTAAAGGACCCCAATGGGATAGTGTTGACACAGATAATAATGAGGGCATCAGACCTATTTTACTTCACAGACCATGTCATGGTAATGGTGTAAATGGCTGTTTGCATGTTGCACATTTACTGAATTTCTAATTTTGTCACTTCACTCAGTTAAAAATCTGTTTTATGGAAATACAAATCAGTTTGTGTTGAAATCAGTTACAAGTTATGCCAGTGATCTTACCTTAATTAGCTAAATTCCCCTGTGCTATGGAAATCCAAATAATGAAATTACATGTAAGCTTACTATCGGTGAACTTTCTACTTGCTCAAACATGTGGGGGTCGATGATGATTTGGAGATTTAACATGCGTTTTCCGACATAATGTGTTTTTCGTGCACAGTTGTGGGGGGCACTGCAGATCAGGGTTATATAAGTATCACCCATCAAAAGTTTCACACCTCAATGTCCTAGCTATATGACAATGGTCTATAAAATAGACTCCTGACCAGACAATCCAGTGATTAAAATGGCGTATGGTGACATGGAGTTAACCAAGTTCCCGATCCTGACCATCCAAGCCTTTCACACAGATGTGTGCCTCACAAGGAGTATACCACTGTGTACAACTAATTTGTGATTCATGGACTAAATCTTCACTTCAATGATTTGGATAAAACATCAACATTTATAACCAATATCAGCATCTCAGATGTGAGTGCTGTTGAAAATATCCCAATGTTCATGATATCATTCACCACTCTGGCTACAGACAATATGTTTTTGGGGTCATATTTCAGCTGTATTCTGTGCCAATCTGATTGTCCCTGAACTGGTAAATAGATGACACTGTGAGGTATCTTGATTATGGATAGAGCCAGATAATTTTGTGCATTATACCCATTAAAATGAAACAACTGTGAATCCCAGTAAAATATCCCCAAATATCCACCCCGAAATGAGTGTTCCAGTGACCCACCCTCCGTACATGCATTCTTAGGAGTGACCCACCTTTTGTACACACATCCTGGTGACCCACCCATGAATGGGCTTTCAGTGACCAATTTCCTTAAATGTGTGTCCCAGTGACCTTTCACTCTGTGCCACTTACACCCACTTTTAATGTGCACCCCAGTGATTCACCCTATGACTATGCATCCTAAGACCCGCACCTGAATGTGCACCCCAGTCATTCACCCCCTGACTATGCATCTTAAAAAACACACCTGAATGTGCACCCCAGTCATTCACCCCCTGACTATGCATCTTAAAAAACACACCTGAATGTGCACCCCAGTGATTCACCCTATGACTATGCATCCTAAGACCTGCACCTGAATGTGCACCCCAGTCATCCACCCCCTGACTATGAATCCTAAACCCCACACCTGAATGTGAATCCAGTGATCCACCCCCTGAATGACCCCAGTCTCTGACTATGAATCCTAACACCTGAATGTGAATCCACACCTAAATGTCCACCCCGACTGTGCATCCTAAACCCCACACCTAAATGTCCCCCCCGACTGTGCATCCTAAGACCAACATCTAAATGACCCAGTAAGAGAATTATAGGGCTCTAATGAATTGAGCAGATGATTCTATACTTTTCTAGGTTATTCTTTGTACATTTAAGTCATGGATCAGTGTACATGCAAGAGACTTTTGGTTTGCCAGCCTCAGGGTTCGAAGAATATATACATGCTGGTCACTAAACAAATACCATAACACATGACATGATGTTGTGCCCATGGGAAACTGGATCAAGGTCCAAACAGAATATTGCTTTGTAAGCAAGAACAGTTATACTATTAATAGATTAACTCAGTAACATATTGTAAATGGAAGAAATGGTGTTTGTTTTCCATAAAGGGATTCTGTATAGAGGTTTATCACTTGTAAGCACTGCTTAGTAACAAGAAGCTTGTACTATAAGTTATCCTGGATGCGATGTTCAGGCTCTGTGACTAGTGATTTTCATTCCCCATCGTGGTGGAAATACTGCATATGCATCTTCATCCAATGGCCTGCCCAGTCAACACCATCAAATAACTATATTATTGCTGACTGCAGAAGCATTGGAACCTTCTCTTCATTCCATTAAGGGGGCGGTGGGGTAGCCTAGTGGTTAAAGCGTTGGCTCGTCACGGCGAAGACCCGGGTTCCATTCCCCACATGGGCACAATGTGTGAAGCCCATTTCTGGAGTCCCCCGCCCTGATATTGCTGGAATATTGCTAAAAGCGGCGTAAAACTAAACTCAGTCAGTCAGTCATTCCATTAAGTGTCACAGTAGGGATTAACTGGTAGAAAACCTTATGGACAATCTGTATGGGTCTGCCAAACATGTTTCATATACATTTTGTTAAAAAACTTACCCATTTTGTAATACTTAGATATGTTTCTACTGAAAAATTGAAAGTAAGCAAAAACATTGTTCAGGGCTTGACAATAATCCGGATTAGTGTAAGCTGACACACACATGCATGTTGCCATATAAGAGTGATAATCTTGCATCAGCTTCACAAATGGAGATATTTTCCCCTTTTAACAAGTGTTATCTGTATCTGGACAAGCTGGCTAGTGCAATACATAGGGACACTTCATTGCTATTACGATGAACATTGATGTTGACATCCAATGATTTTCATTACAGTAAATCAAACTAGTTCATAATCATTTTAAGTGACATGTATCTGTCAATGGGAAAACAGTATTATTGACTGAAGTTGCATTTCTTCCCACCTGTTCATAAAAATAATTGACAAATAACATGTATCCCAGTAATATGATTTATGATACATGTTGCAACAATGCCAATGCCATGTCCATGTATCACATGATACATACCGTCATCTTTAATAGTAATTCTTTACGCTTTGGTCTAGTGGCATTCAAACTTTACATATTGACTTGTGTCATTGTCTCTATATCAGTAAGCCCTGTAGATTCATGTGGCAATATATTTCCCTTTCCTTGAACAGACAAAAACTACAACATTGTATCACTTTATAAACAAATGCTTCTATTCTGATTGTTGCTAACTGTTGTACATGTTTTGATGGTGATTGTGCAGCCAGTGATCTGGCTGAATGTGTCATGATCATCATACATCGCCACCATATAGCTGGAATATTGGTGAGTGCGGCGGCAATCAACAAAGAAACATCATTATTTATACCATAGAGAAAATCAAAATCAGCCATTAGTTTGCGAGGTCCAAACCTGAATGCTGTATATCACAAAATTCTCTCACCTTTTAGGGAATAACAAACCTGAGATCTTTGACGTAGATATATTTGACATTGATGTCCTTCTGTCAGGATTTGCTTGGTATTTTGTTACCAAGCTTAAAACTGTTCCTGCTGATAAATCTTCACAATAGACTGTGTTAGCACCCATGTTGTACATGTTTCACTGAGCTGTGTCAATACACCAGGCGTACAGAACAGAGTGACTTATTTGATTGTGTGTTGGCGTACCCTGATCTCAGGTGATGTTGCTGATATCAGTCACTGGTTTGTATGGTCCAGATTTGATTTTTCACAAGAAGGGTCATATGGCTGGAATATTACTGAGTGCAGTTACGCTTTAACTCAATAATGAAGGAGCATATGTTGTTCAGTTGTGCTCATGTGTTCATTAAGTGTTATTTGAGGGGATTGGAAAAGGACCACTACCCTGAGTAGGAGATGACAATCAGTATTGTCTTGGAATCACTTATCTACACACTATCCTGTTCAATACCCATCCTACTCGGCAGCCCACCCTCATCAGTTCCCCATCCTACTTTGTACAGCACCCCATCCTACTTTGTACAGCACCCCATCCTACTTTGTACAGCACAAGACCCGTGAAGATCCGGGTTTGATTTGGTCTTCACTAACCCATGCTTGTCGTGGGAGGTGGCTAACAGGATCTGGTGGTCAGGCTCTCTGACTTGGTTGACACATCATCACATCCCAATTGCGTACATTGATGTTCATGCTGTTGATCACTAGATTGTCTGGACCAGACTCGATTATTTACAGACCGCTGGAATATGGCTGAGTGTGGTGTAAAACTAAACTCACTCACTGGTACAGCAATTACTATATACCATACTACTTGGTACAACTACCTCAGCACCCTGTCTTACTTCGTACACCATCTTACTGTCTACCCATCTTCAGCACCCAGGGACGGCGGGGTAGCCTTGTGGTTAAAGCGTTAGCTCGTCACGCGGAAGGCCCGATTCCCCACAGGGGTACAATGTGTGAAGCCCATTTCTGGTGTTTACCCGCTGGGATATTGCTAAAAGCGGTGTAAAACCCAACTCACTCGCTCACTCACTCCTTAGCACCCTATCATCCTTGGTACACAATCTTACTGTATACCATCCTACCTAGTACCCCTGAATATTCAGCACCCTATCCTACTTGGTACACTTTCTCTGTACCCCAACTCATCACCCCATCTTAAAGGACCCAATTGTACTAGATGTCCCATCCTACTTGGCACCATGTGACACCCTGTGTCCTCAGCGTTTGTTTACCAGAGTACTGGTAACAGTATCCCCCAAGTCCTATGAAACCCATTTGTGTGGGTGCAGCTGTTGAAATATTGCTAATTCTGACCTGTTTGAATTATTTGCCAGGTCACTAATAAAGCCGATTACGGTAGATATACTCACAAATTCATGTCATTATGTCCTTAATTGAAAGTTATAGGTTATCGGTTAATGTTGAGGTTTATGGTAAATTATGTGAATAAATAATGCATGATTGAACATTTCATAAGCATTTATTTTTTTATATACTATCAGTTATTGAAGTTTGGTCATTACAATCATTGAGCTTTCATCATAGTCTGTCTCACAGTCCCTGAACCACATTATTTTCCCTACTGCCAAACTCTCTCTGCAATGCTAAAGCCCTAAATAAAGCAAGTCTAGATTTCCTCAGTTTCAGTTCTGAATCTCTGGTCTCCCTGGGGCTCCGTTTCAATTTAAATGAGCTTGTTTGTTACTATCAAAATTATACAAATTTTGAGACTAAGCATTTGTCTACTTTCATCACTTTATCGTAGATCATCATAACCTTAGTCCAAGACACAGTATGAACTTATCTTATGCTAGTCCAAGATTATGTAAAATGAAAGTATTGAATGAAACTAATTAATATTGTAGTTGAACGTAGAGATTTTTCTGGGTTACATCTTCTTTTTAGTCTTATATTATTTGTTATTTTATTGTAGTTGTCTGTAGTTTGTGGGTTGAGGATTGACCGAGATAGCTATACTGTTAGGCTGATTATATCTTCCCTAGCCTTGCTTTGCCCCACTGTTTAAAACTTTCCATGCATGATAGTTCCAAACAACTCCATCGCCACTGATGCTAAATATGTGTGAGTGCGTTAAGATGTGCCCCACTTTTAGCAACATTCCAGCAATATCAGAATTGGGCTTCAAACATTGTGCCCATGTGGGGAATCGAACCCAGGTCTACAGCAGTACGAGTGAACACTTTAACCACTTGACTGCCCCTCCATGTTTTAAGGATTGACGCTCGTGGGTGGAAGTCCATTGTGATGTTCAAAAGACTGTGTCCCTTTCTTTGATTACATGGCAAATGACTGCCATTTGACTGTATTGCATTATAGAGTCTGGACCAGACAATACAGTGATGGTCGAACAGACCATCCGGCATCACGATTATTGATTTTGTGGAAACCCAACCACATTATGTTAATTTTCAGTATCAAGACAATTATTTATTATTGTTTTTGTTATCGGTAGAATAACAAAGGTAATGGGGTACAAACACTGTGCCCATGTGGGGAATCGAACCCGGGTCTTCGGCGCTATAAGCGAACACCTTTACCCCTAGGCTATCCCACCACCCCTGCTATATATGTACATGTTGTCTATTGAATTGTAGTGTAGTGGAGAATTTTGCCATTATGTTACAGACTAAGGAAGTATTTGATATCTTGACATGAATGATAATAGGCCAGAAATAGCCCCAGACGAAGTTCATTGTCCTTTTCCAACAGAAATTGCCATAATGTCATGAATATTAATAACACTGGCTGTTCATTCACTATTTAAAGTCTGTTTTGAGTGTAAAGATCATATTCTACTGTTCCGTGCCACCCAAGCTACATTTTCTTACATATCATTTCAAGTGAAAATGTCACATCTTGATTTTTAGAAGACTAACGCTTAGTCTCTGAATATATATAATTTTCATTGTAACAATTAAACCCATTTAAATTGAAAAGTAGCTCCAGGGAGACCAGAGATTCAGAACCTGGGGAAATCTAGACTTGCTTCATTTAGGGCTTTAGCATTTTACGGAGAGGGCTAGGCTGTAAGGAAAATAATCTGGTTCAGGGACTGTGAAACAGACTAGCTGTACATTGTCATTTCAAGTACAAACAAAATAAATTCTAAAGCATTTGCACGTTGTGATGAAATATTCCGTACGATGGTGCAATTGTTGCACTTATCCACACCCATCCGTTGACCGCAGATGTTTGCGTAGGCTGAGCATTTTGGCAGGTTGAGTTGAGCATTGAACTATCTTCACTTCACATGTCTGGAGAACCGTTACACCCTGGCATGTACAGGAAAGGTCAAAGTGTGATTCTCATTATACTGTACTCTGCAGCTGTAATGCTGGTTTAATTTGTAATCTAGTGCTTCATTAATAGGTTCCACATGGTGTTGGCAATTTATGATCATATTTTTCCGCTGAAGGTAGTCTTTCAAGATGCATCATTTCCACATTTCTGTAATCACCTTTACCCCATAACACCCAGTTGTATTTCAGTAGGCTAAAAACATATTAAACAATTACACCGATAAACCGAAGGAATTCTGAATACATGAACCAAATATTTTGAAGGTTTTATTGTGATAGAATGTAAACAATCAACAACAATCATTGTCAATTTCATCAAATATCAAGTTTATTGATGACTCATCATTTTGTCAAGATTTATAGTTATCACAAACACATTTAATTCCCAATACTGACATGATAAAACCCAGAAAGTTTAACAACACTAGATTGAAACATTTTGTGAAAGAATTATCACAATTTGTAGCTGCATGTGAGCATCATTTCACTCAGACTACTGTGTCATTCAGCCATCTCATTTGATCTGTAAATTGTAATTTCTTGAATGAAAAGTAATTAGTTTCTTGAATGTAAATGAATTAATTTCTTGAATGTAAATTAATTTAATCAATGTATCAGGTTTGTGATCTTGCAAATATCTTAGACCTATCAGGTGAGCTACAGAGCCTGTTTATTGTTTGATTCTCTGGTACTTAAAAGCAATGGAAACACAACTAACACTTTCTCCTGTGACTCACACCACGACTACTTCCTGTCAATATATCATTGAAGTGAATCTAGCTTGGGAAATCATTCTTTTTATCCATGCGTGTATCTTTTCCGGTGTTTATATTGGTGTTTTTTGTTTTGCAGGTTGCAATAAAAATTATTGACAAGACACAGTTAAATCCATCAAGTCTTCAGAAGGTGAGAAACTTTAATGAGCTTGAATGATGACAATTTGATACCATTTTTTTTTTCAGTTCAGTCAGTATTTATGTATGATGAATGATGAATGAGCTGATCTTCTTTTGCTCCATGAAACATTCATAAATCTTGTATGTCATGTGTCCATTAGGAGCAGCTGCTTGGAAAATATTGATAAAATTCACCTTTATTTAATCTTTTGAAAAATCGAACTGTCAAAACACTTTGGCATTCAGGCCAGAGTAGGTTCCAGACACTGAAAATATTGCTGAATTTATTGCTGAGGCAACTAAATTTGATCGTGTCAAACTCAGATTTTGTTGCTCTTGAATTTTGCCGAGGATATTTATTAATCACTGGTTTGTCTGGTCAGTTAACGACAGGCCTAGACATAACTGGACTAACGTCATGAGAAGTGCCTGAAAAGTTTCAAAAGTAAGAATCAGCCTATTTTTGTCGTGCAGCTATTCAGACATGGAATACTGCAGGCAAAGGAACAACAGTAACCATGAGCATCAGTTTGTGATGAAGTCACGTTTACATATGTTCCAGAAGTACTTTCTTTGTTATCTCTATCTATAGAATCCCTAGCCCACTGGTTTCGCATCTGTTTCAATGCAAGTAATTAAGTTAATAAAACACGGCTGAAAATATGAAACTCAGATGTTGGAGAATACACATCTGATACTGATTAAATTTCCGTTGGGTGTAGGTCTGCATTTGTATCATATTATTGATCGTAGTGATCTATAGTCAGCAGTGACCAAGCTAATTTTGAATATCATCAGAGCTAGAGGTGGAATGCTGGAAGTATGAAGCAAGGACTTTCCTGCTCAAGGCTTTGCCATACTTTGCAGGTTGTAATACCACTATGACTTCCTAATTTTAGAGGGGTGATGGGGTAGCCTAGTGGTTAAAGCGTTCGCTCGTCATGCTAAAGACCCGGGTTCGATTCCCAATATGGATAAAATGTTTGAAGCCTATTTCTGGTGTCCCCCGCTGTGATATTGCTGGAATATTGCTAACAGTGGCATAAAACCATACTCACTCCTAATTTTAGTTTTGCCATGAATGGCTGCAAGATTGTGATGTCTTAAGTAGTCATCACTGACTTGTGTGTTAACTGAAGCTGGGTAGGGGCATGGGTGGAGCAGTTGTCTGAGGTGTTGTTATTTGTTGAGTCAAGATTTGTCACATTCAGGCCTGTATTTTGTCTGGGTTACCTTCCACATTTAGCTGATGCTGTAATATAACTGGAATACTGTTCAATGCAGCATTAAACCAACTCGTTCATTCATTACAATTTGTTACTTGATATTTAGATACAGTTGATGAGAGCCTGTTGCATGCATCCATTCATCAGCTGATCAGTGTAGAATATCAACAGGATTTCAAATATTTCTTTTAGCTAATTATTAAAGTACCTCATTGTGCACTTAGATGCCCCATGAAGTTATGTGTAGTCTTAATTAAGTAGACTGTTAATACATTAATGTGAGCTTGAAAGGACCCATGAATCAGCATGTAGCTGATTCTACATTGCTTCTCCTTTGTAACAGTTGGTTAATGCTCTACATATTAAATGTGATTGCATTCCGAAAGGATATTTCCTTTGAATTTGAGTACAAGTGCCTTGAGTAAGTGTCGAAAGCTTTGATTTTGTTGCGGACAAATCTGTAAAATCTAGAGATTGGGCATTGCTGGTCATGAAAAAGTCTTCTTTGAAATGTTTTTTTATAAGATTTTCTGCCGCTCTTGTTGTGATACTGCATGTGGCTAATTGAATCATTATCACCATCCTCCTGGATTGCCTTGGGAGGGTGTTTGACAGGAATCATGCCACTGTCATTCTGTGTGTCACTTGATAACTTAGTTGAACTGAAAACATAATGTCCATAATCATTTAATGTGAATTAAACGTCGAGATTCCAATCCACTGAGTGCTCGTAGACTTACGAAGTGTCCTAACTGTAAGTTTATCATAGGTTTATGAATGTTGTAGTGTTACATATGCTCTGTGGATGATGCCCTAGGCCTTGAACTGACAAGGTTTTAAATGACTTTGATAGGTCAAGGTCTGAAAATGTCTTGGCATACAAATTTGGCTTTCCTGGTCCTGTGTGCAAGCATTTTGCAGATTATTGTTTTTGATTTGATAAATCACTTAGTACTTATTTATGATTGGTGGTGAATTTATGAAAGTATGTGTCGAAAGTATTACATGCCAAAACATATCATAACATCATATTTACTGTAGAGATGTCATGTTTATCTGTTGAATGATCCCTGTGAAACCATTGTTCATATTATTAGTTAGAACTGCTTTTATTTTAATGTTGAAATGACAAGGTTATATAAAAAATGATGACCGAGAAATTATTCTATAAAATATAAGATCTAGAAGTAGTTATACTTTTAGAAATGAATATCAATAGATATTATTTCTTTTGTCTATTGGAAGGCTTGACCTTGCTCTTGGTCTTGTGGAGGTAGACCTCATTCAATGGTTATTTGGATATTATTGATGATAGGTGCCAACCATCTTGTCTTACCAGTAAACAGGTTCCAGCAATTCCAGATGTGAAATGTTAATAATCTCAATGCTGAGACAGGATGAATATTTTTAGGTCATATTCAAGTCATGATTTTTCTGAAATATTGCTGATGTGACCCCTCAAAGTCTTTCACTTGGTTGTTTTCACATTGATAAAATTAACTACTGGTAAATGTATTTCATTTGACAGGGAATGTAATGGATGGGAATGAAATAGTTTACTCATACTTTCTTAGAATGTCCTATTTTGCCCATACATGGTGCCCCCACCATGATATTGCTGGATTATTGTTGAAATATTTGTTGAAAGAGGCACATTATGTCTCACTGACTCATAGCATTGCCCTGATCTTGATTATTGGTTTTCCTGCTCCATACACATTGTGAATGTTGTCAGCCTGGTTCACCTGAAATACCATTCAAAGGAGTGTTAAACTCAGCTCTATCTGAGAACTCTATCAGGCTTTCCAGTGAGCATTTACATCATTGATCAAAAGATCAAGGCATGCAATCACTTTTTTATTAATATATTCTTAGTACATGTAACAGGTAGGTCTTTTTAAGTAAATGTTGGCTTCTATTTGCCATTCCTGATCCTGTAATGCCATTCATAGCGAACTTTTGTGCCTTCAGTTGTTCACATGTACTAATTGTCAATGACACTGTCCATTTTTTGTCCTACTTATGATGAATGATATTCTTTTCCTAAAATACAAAAAATTGAGCCAACAAAGTCAAATGTATTTCAGTTGTCAAGTTTCAAAGGTTGAGATTAGTATGATCAAATCCAGTTTTGTTTCATTTAAGATATATGTTTCTTGGCCAAACAAAATCAAGGGGATGCTGGGATCGTTAGATATCAACAATATTAAACCGACAGTATATTCCCACGACATAATGTGAATAGAGCTGCCTGTTTTGCTGTCTCACCATGCCTGGTGATAGTTCAAAGTTCAGTGTTATCACAAGTCCAGGTGGTAGTTAGCGACACCCTGATAGGGAACTGTCACCTTCACGTTGTTAACTTGAGGTAGATACTTGATCAGTTGAAATAATTTCACACCAGATATTCTATCTGTAAGTGGTTTGGCGATGTTTGGGGGTCAGCAGGTGTTATAGTCCTGATTTTTCCACCTTGCTTATGATACTGAACATGAGTGTCATGGATGCTGCAAAGGCCATAATTAATTACCCGCCCAGAATGTTGTTTTCCTTATATACATTGAAATGGCTATGGATGTTGTGATGGCTCAGTCAAACTGCTGATGCTTGTAATATTGATAACACACACTAGGACAGTCTAGTCCTTACTATACGTTATCTGGCCACAGATATCAGTGAAGAGTTGATAGCTCAACAAGCTGCCATGCTTACCTGTGGCTTGTGCCGGTTTCCATGCTTTCCTGTGCATAGTGCAGGCTGTCATGCTTTTCTGTGCATAGTGCAGGCTGTCATGCTTGCCTGTGGCTAGTGCGGTCTGCCATGCTTTCCTGTGCATAGTGCAGGCTGTCATGCTTTCCTGTACATGGTGCAGGCTGTCATGCTTCCCTGTGGCTAGTGCAATCTGCCATGCTTTCCTGTGGCTAGTGCGGTCTGCCATGCTTTCCTGTGCATAGTGCAGGCTGTAATGCTTCCCTGTGGCTAGTGCAATCTGCCATGCTTTCCTGTGGCTAGTGCAATCTGCCATGCTTTCCTGTGGCTAGTGTAGTCTGCCATGCTTTCCTGTGGCTAGTGCAGTCTGCCATGCTTTCCTGTGGCTGGTGCAATCTGCCATGCTTTCCTGTGGCTAGTGTAGTCTGCCATGCTTTCCTGTGGCTAGTGCAGTCTGCCATGCTTTCCTGTGGCTGGTGCAATCTGCCATGCTTTCCTGTGGCTGGTGCAATCTGCCATGCTTTCCTGTGGCTTGTGCAGTCTGCCATGCTTTCCTGTGGCTAGTGCAGTCTGCCATGCTTTCCTGTGGCTTGTGCAATCTGCCATGCTTTCCTGTGGCTAGTGCAGTCTGCCATGCTTTCCTGTGGCTAGTGCAATCTGCCATGCTTTCCTGTGGCTAGTGCGGTCTGCCATGCTTTCCTGTGGCTTGTGCAGTCTGCCATGCTTTCCTGTGCATAGTGCTGTCTGCCATGCTTTCCTGTGGCTAGTGCAATCTGCCATGCTTTCCTGTGGCTAGTGCAGTATGCCATGCTTTCCTGTGCATAGTGCGGTCTGCCATGCTTTCCTGTGACTAGTGCGGTCTGCCATGCTTTCCTGTGCATAGTGCAATCTGCCATGCTTTCCTGTGGCTAGTGCAGTCTGCCATGCTTTCCTGTGGCTTGTGCAGTCTGCCATGCTTTCCTGTGCATAGTGCAATCTGCCATGCTTTCCTGTGGCTAGTGCAATCTGCCATGCTTTCCTGTGGCTAGTGCGGTCTGCCATGCTTTCCTGTGCATAGTGCAATCTGCCATGCTTTCCTGTGGCTTGTGGGGCGGTGGGGTAGCCTAGTGGTTAAAGCATTGGCTCGTCACGCCAAAGACATGGGTTTCGAATCCCCACATGGGTACAATGTGTGAAGCCCATTTCTGGTGTCCCCCGCCATGATGTTGCTGGAATATTGCTAAAAGCGGCTTAAACCCAAACTCAGTCAGTCAGTCCTGTGGCTTGTGCAGGCTGCCATGCTTATCTTCGTGGCTAGTGCAACCTGTCTGTTTTCATTTAAATGGTCAACACGAGACTTCGTATAAAACAGATACCAGAATGCAAGCAGTTGTTAGCATAATATTGAATTGTTTAATGGTTGTTGATTTCATCTGTAATGTAATTTGAGGAAACATTCTTGAGTAGCTGAACTAATGAAAGATATATGCAATTATGCCAGCAGTTTGTCGCACTTGGGGACCATTCAGGCAAACTGCGGCATGCAGACAATCAATGGAGCATCACCTTACTGTATAACACCCGTGGATTATTTTACAGTCTGATGCACACGTGGAGTTCAATACACATATGCAATATTGATTGAACACCAGTGGGACATCTGGAATTCCAGTTGTATCTGTTGTTGGATTACGCATTGGTATTCCAAATGTCTGAATGTGATAACATGCTTCAACCATGTAGTGAGACTGACCACTTGAGCCTGTAAGATGCCTCTATCACAAGTGTGTTGGCTGAAGACCAGTACTAACCCAGGTTACCAGATGCATCTGTGCAATACTGCAAACATTTGGACTATATTATCATTGCTATGAGCATTAAGGACTAGTAAAGTTTAGAGTCTTTTGTTATTCTCTTTATTGATGTGTTTACTTTTCAAATATGTTGCGGCAGTATTCTGTTGTAATTTGAGAAGATTTTCTGGACTGCATGTAACAGCTTCTGATGTAAAGGAACTAATTCCATGGTGTAGTGGTAAGAGCATCCGCCCGGAGAGCAGAAAGTCCCTGGCCGCATCATAGCAAAAGACGTTAAAATATGGTACTTGTTAGTCCCTGCCTGGCGCTTGGCAGTAATGGGTATAATAAGGACTGGTCGCTTCTTCGGAGTCAGTATAATGTGTCTGAGTGGGGTATTCTTGCTTAACTGCAGCATGGTATCTCAGTGAGCTAGCTCTATAAAACCAGCTTCAGTCTCGGCCTGTACAAGCAGCCACACATGCACTCACATGCACATCATCATATAAGCGAAATATTTTTAAGTGCGAATTTAAACCCCATTTCACCTCACCTGATGTAAAGGCTTTGTTATCCTCTATCTGGTAGTTCAGATGAACAATGTTGAAATATTAAGCCTTAGTTTCACCAATGATACAAGCATAATTACAACCTGATTATCTGGTTGGAATGTATTGATGGTCACAGCTGTCATGGCAGCTGGATGACATAGGATCCCTTACTGTTGTACACTATAGGCGCTGGTCCATGTTTTAGGACTTTAATGATGCAGAATCACATTGGAATGTGTGTGGGTGAGTCCCCATCCCTTCCCTTGGAGACTTCAGGCCCCGTCTTGTATTACATGCAGCTAAGAACTTGCTGGCTTTTCTGCAAATGTAAAGAAACACACAAGACTTTTCTTGAGCATTTCCTTCTTTATCTTCTGCAACTCATTCACCGTTTTAGAATGTGTTTTTTTAACTCTCGACTGACCTCTACCCTGGTGTAAAACTCAGTTTATTTAATACACAAATGATTGGTCAGCTTTGAAACTATACTTATATTATGATTTCATTCTTAGATAATCGCGACATTTTCCTATGTCAATCGCAAATATCTACTGCCAAGGTTGAAGGGCAATTTGAAAATCCCCTTAAGAATGGATAAAGCATTATGTCTGAACATTCAACTGCTAAAGCAGACACAGAAGGTAAAAGCATCTCATTAAGCTTTCATTGGCTCTATGGAGCTGAATATTACTCTGCATTGATCTAGTTACAGTTGCTGATCAAGCAAATCTACATCAAAAGGAGAATAAGGCTGGTGAATCAGTTTGATTATCCAATACAATTGTCAAGATGTTGTCCACTGAAAAGATTCTACTTGTATTTCAGCTCTTTCGAGAAGTTAGGATAATGAAGTGGCTTGATCACCCAAATATAGGTAAATGGTCTTTATTTGTTCATCGTTTAATGTGTTTTAATTTCCACTTTTCAGCTCTTTCGAGAAGTTAGGATAATGAAGGTGCTTGATCATCCAGATATAGGTAAAGTGCATGTTGTAGATCCCTAACTAGTCCCAGTATATGTTTGTAGAAAACCTTTGCTGTACTTCCTGTTTACACTCATCTCTTTGCTTCCCTGTATCATTTTAGCCTCGCTGGACTGTAAGTCCAAGTGAGCTTATGTAGAAGAACATTTTTCCTTCTATCTATACATTCCTATTAGATCCCTCCTAATTCCTTCAAATATTTCTGTACTTTCAATATAAAGCAAGCCAAATTATGTCTAGACTATGGAGTACCAGATACCATCCATCATATTGGTGATAAGGAAACTGAACAGTTTCACATAAACAAATGCCATGGCAAGTAAATGTCATTTTCAGTTTCCAAAGTTAATGAAATATACTTTCATGTGTTCTTGAAATTAGTCCTTAATGGACATCACTGATGATGTTGATGTACACCATTATGAAACTTCAATTTTAAATTATCTTTCCACTGTTAATGTCCAATGTTTTTCGCCTGTTTCAAAAACAGTTATGCTATGACCTCAGTTAAAAATGGCAGATGGGTATCCGGTATTCTGTTTGTGTACCATATTTATGCAGTGAACTAATGTCCAAAGTAATTAGAATACTGATAACAGCTTCATTTACTCAACTGCTAAAATATCATTAACTTTGAAGTGAAACAAGATTGTGATCTTCACTTCCTCTATATCAATTTATACCAAAATATTTAAGTCTTCAGGCTGCAACATGGTTCAGTAGACACTGATGTTATGTAGACTATAATTTGCTGATTGATAGACCGACCGACAAGGCTTTCACTAGACTATGGCTTTGAACATGTGGCTGAAGTCACAAACTATTATAACAACAACGGTACCTCCCTAATAGAAATATCACTTCGTGGAATTTGTCTGGATTACTATAAGTGGTAATATCCTTTGTGTACATAAATAGTTTCCTGACATGATTTCTGTACGTTAGGGTTTCTGGATTAAATTGGTCACAACTGACAAGGTTCCAATGAATGAGCAAGCAACACTGCAGTGGTGCCAATTATAACCCATGGAATTATGTCATGAAAATGATAATTTGAGTAATTGTGACTCCCTGTGACTGTATAACACAGGTTGTTCTGCTATCTGTGCACATGATGTCAGCTGTGCAGATGGGACGCGGTATTGATTTCCCTTCCTCGACAAGACGTTCCAGATTCAATTGTCGGGCAAAATGGCAACACTGACATCATAGCCAGATGTAGAGGGGTTGACTAATTTGACTTCCAGAATAAATTTGATATTATAGGTTTCAGATATTATAACTAAATATAACGAAATTTGGAAAGTTTGAATTAAATCACAGAACATCTATATATGTTGGGTTTTTTCATTTATTTTGTATGGATGACAGTTAGGCAAAAGATAGGATATTTGTCATTTCATAATATTATGTTGTCTAAGAATGGTCAGATACCTCTGTATTTGTGTTTAGTATGAGCTGTAAGGTGTTCTGTACATTTGTTTCAGTCAAACTATTTGAGGTGATAGAGACAGAAAAGACACTGTATCTTGTCATGGAATACGCAAGTGGAGGTGAGTACTTCGTCTTTATATAATTTTCCCCTTAATATAATCCAATTGACTGCCAACATACTTTTCCAAATTTTCTGGTAAAAGGTATTGTTGTCTTCCTAATAATGAGGGCGGTGGGGTAGCCTAGTGGTTAAAGCGTTCGCTCATCACGCCGAAGACCCGGGTTCGATTCCCCACATGGGTACAATGTGTGAAGCCCATTTCTGGTGTCCCCCGCCATGATATAGCTGGAATATTGTAAAAAGCGGCGTAAAACTGAACTCACTCACCCACTCCTAATAATGAATGCATACCAACATGCTGTATGCAATATTATTGATGTTGCATGAAGCAGTACTCGCTCACTCGTATATAAACATGCTAAGAGCAGGAACATTTTGACCTTGGCTTTTATTTAGTGCATCTTTGCAGTTAAAATGCATCAAGTCATGTACAGGAACTATTCACTTCAGTCTGTTGTCTATCAGGAAGTTGAATATTTATACAACTTTGGATGTGAATACAACGATGTTGACGGATCCTGAATCTATTTTAGCCCCGAGGTTTTCCAAGCTATGTTGTCAGCTATATTTATGAATTCAGTCCTTCACTGAGTCATCATGTACTTAACCCCCATCAAACATGGCGCTCAGCAGCAAAGCATGCACTGGGATGAGTATCACACCTCCACTAGAAACAAGTCATACAGGATACCGGTTGGGAATGGGGCTGATTTCATCAGTGGCGTTTAAGAAATTCCATGCAGTATATTGCCATCTTGAGATATTCCTATCTATGGTTAATATATACATGGACTGAATCTGTTTCTTTTTAATGTGTCTGAATGGAATATCCTTAAGCTGTCGTGATATGAGCGAAATATTCTCAAAATTATGTTCAGACCAGTACAAGCACACTGGCACACACACTTGCATGCAAGTCACTAATAGGGCAATTATCTTGAATGTGATGTTAAACCTCACTTCAGAAGATTGTCAAAAACATAGAAGTATGTCTTTTCCCCCCGACAGACTGACTGAAATATTTAGATATGAAAAACAACATTGGTCCCAGTACACAGATTCATCAAACCTAGAACAGTCAGACACTTAGTTCAGTTCTTCAGTACTTGTCCTATATAAAACTTCTAATTGATATCAATAAATATAGCATAAATATTGTTATGGTTTGTGAGGGTAACCTTTGTTCAACTGAAAGAAGAGGAGGTTTTGATGCTTTGTTTATATCAGGGAAATAGATGCAATCTCCAATTACAATTTTGGACTGCCTCTAAATTTCAAGAAAATAATCACTTTGAACAAAATAATATGTTTTCTCTTTCTCTCCCTCTCCACTTCATGGGTTAAACTTCCAACAGTTGTCAGACCTGGGTTCCAGATGAATTTGGAAATGTGACTTGAATATTAATCATGTATATTAAGTAAGTAAAGTTGTAGCTAATGTGATGTTTGTTCAGGGTAACTTGTATTCCAAAGACAATAATCGCATTCTTCCTTAATTAGTCTGACATGGGTATTTAGTTAAGAGCATTGGATAAAACCCAACAGTATCCAACGTGTATATATGTTAATGTGAGTAGACTGATGAGGCAACTAATCAGGTGGCCATGATGTTCAACATGTCTAACTGTGATGTTGATTGTGTCATTGTACTCCCACATTGTAGATAATTGAACCTGCTATATTAAACATTGAAATGCCAGGCCTAAATGAATTTATTTACCATTCACGAAGATACAGCTGTTATAATGCATATAGGGGTGGTGGGGTAGCCTTGTGGTTAATGTGTTTGCCCGTCACGCCGAAGGCCCGAGTTCGATCCCTACATGGGTACAATGTGTCAAACCTATTTCTGGTGTCCTCCACTGTGATATTGCTGGAATATTGCTGAAAACGGCTAAAAACTCACTCACTGTTATAATAATAATGCATAAACTAATATTCCCTTCCCACTCAAATAATGGTCGAGGTTTTGAGGTAGTTATACTTGAATTTGATTTCTGGATATGCTGGAATGGTAATTATATTATACATAATATGGATAAATATTGATTTATCATGTAATATAAACATATTGGTCTGACTGCAGAATTAGTTCTTTGCTTTATGACCAGAAACAATTTTTGACTAGAGCCTTCACATCCATTGTTGAAAAAAGTCTTCACTTAAAGTTGTTTAAGATAGGACATAACAGAAACCACTAACATGATTTTAAATATAACTCGATTCTAGTCTCATGCAGAACTAGAAACCAAACCAATTCAATTCACAAGGAAGTATTTTATGCTTTGGAAAATGATTTATGCTCTTAATATCTGATTTCTAAATCTTTTGAGTGCTTGTTAGTATATATTAAAATATAAATTTAACCTCACAAGAACAGGGCCGGATACAGCTTTCTGAAAAAGTGGGGGTGCACACTATTGAGAAAAGGGTGTGTGCACACTTCATTTTCACCCTAGTTTCTGTGTTTCTTTCATTTCCCGCTGTTACTGGTTTAAAGAAATATGATTTACCAGGATGACAGTGTCATTATGGTATCATTGTGTGTAATAAGACATGCCATGATCATACTCACTCAGAAAATAACCTTTCTTGTAGAAGTATCTGAGCTATAGTCAGTACTTTATTTTCTCTCAGGTCACTGTCTGGATGAGTGATTTATTGAGTGGAACACTCCTCATAATCTCAATCACTGGGTCGTCTGTTCTTGACCTAGTTGCGGAAGTTAGGGTCGTCATTGAAGTTGACATTCAACATTACACCCATTTGTTTGAGATCTTTTTAGAATTCCTATTTTGTAAGATTCAGAGATAATTCCTCACTTTGAAATTAAATTCAGTAAAATAATACAAAACCAAGTGCTACGCCTCCTGCTGCTGTATTGGCCATGCTATCAGTGAAATGCAGGTTACCTTTACAAATCTGTTATATTAGTTATGAAACATGAATTAGGAAAGTTAATTCCAGTGTGGGAATTTGTGATAGTTTGCTTCTGACATGTCAGTATATTGATCTGATCAGGTCAAGTTAAATACCTGATGGGTTGTCAAGTTAAATACCTGATGGGTTGTCAAGTTCAGCTCTAGTATAAGGTTAGACTTGACTCGGGCTTGAGCAGTTGGTAATGAATGTTTCTGTTTCTTTCTCCCTGTGTGACCTATGTATGAAACCTGAGTATGCTACTGACATCATTGCTTAGATTGATTTATGTTAATGAAGACAACACTGGGTCAAGTACCTGAAGTAGGTAGCTGTTATCCTGTCATGGATGTGTACAGTGTAAGGCACAGACAACTACACTGCAAGTGTAGCAGGTCGTATTATGGGAACTAGTGTGAACAGTACTAAAATATAACGTTGAAATCAAAGTGGCTTTCAGCTTGAGTATAATTCTACTGTATGGGTACAGAATCAAAGGGTGTGGAAATTTTGTAGCTTCTTACTCCTGAACATGTTGAAGAACATGAAATATTTGTGTGGGTATCTATTGTTGATAAACTGCCACAAAGGTTTTATGCCAGACAAGGCCTCAGTCTTGGTGTTTCCTGATATATGTTTGTTTATAGTAATATTGTAAATGTCATTTAAGGGTTGAAAACTGTATTTATTATTGTCATAAATAGACTGATTGTGAGAACCACTAGGGACTAGTTCAATCCTCTCAATGCTACTGTCGAACCCATTCAACAGGACAGCAGCATAATGACATCCCCAAATAAAACTTGCAATAATTATTCAACAAGTCGGATTTACGTGTCATTTGAATTATGTATGGAATGCATTAATTCTCAGCTTTCTAAATATATAATCTTCAATTAGTTTATGTACCTTAAAACGAAATGCCCACGAATTAAATATTTGTTCACCAAATTTCTCCGCACACAGCCACAAATTACGGCCATTGTTGACTTCGTGTACATCACGTTGAGTGGTACCCAGTCTAATATTTTCTTCATAATGAAATATTTTTTTCCAAATTTGATCAATGTTTTTGTTCTTTGGTGAAGAGAAAGCATTGAAGTTTTATATTTTCTAAAAATTAGTAACTTTCGGTTTAATTTGTTATAAACAAAAACAATCTCAATGTTACATCGATTGGATGAAACAGGAACGATAGATAAACAAACAACTCCACATTTTCGTGATGCCGAAAAAATTGTGTTATCCTTTTGATAGATCCAATTATTTTCGCTGGAATTAATTACATGGTCTGATTTGGTATCTGTTATTTTGTCTTTGTAAAAAAATTATCATATTTATTGAGTTTATAATGATTTTGTTTGATAAACCTTCCGACAGTGACATTGTTGACAGCCGTGGGTGACGCGCAAGGGCGTGGCCCAACTCGCGGGGGTTTTAGGTGACAATACACAAAGGCTGTTAGAAAATACACGTTCAGAATCAGAATCTGAACTCATATACATTCTAAGAAAACGATTCAATACCTATATAATACAGATCATAAAAAATAATCACAATATTTGTAATTGTACCCACCCTTGATGAAACCGGAAGCACTTACGGCATGGCACCCATGGAGGCAAAATATGTACGAGTTGGAAAAGGACCATTGATACATTTTCTAAATGGATTCATATTCTCGTAAAATCCAAAATTTATAGTAGAATTAACTTATTAAACACCTTCAATAGGTTACTGTTAGCTGTAATCAACTGTAGATGTCATTTTCTTCTTTTGTTGTATATTTTTTCGTCTCAATATTGCTGCTGGTGTGTAGATCTTTATTTTTACAAATTCAAAGTCGTAATGGATCTCACGGTCGTTGATTTTCAAATAATGTTCTGACACGGGGAGATGTTATGAAATGTCAGTATGTCATAATAATAACATAATATTGTTATATGTCTATCGTCACAAGAAGGACAATTCGGATGATCGAAGACGTTATGCATGAATTCTTTTTCCTTTCACAGAAACGGATGAAACCAGATCTAGTGTAAGAATGTGATGTAAATGGATTTCTTAAAATTGGAATGATGGGATAAAAAATAGTCACCGTCTACAGGTGTGAATGCATCTCACTCAAATCCGTGTTTGTTTTAGACATTAAAACAGCTAAACAGCACATCTTTTGATCTCCAAGTAGGAGAAAAATTGAAATAATTCTGTTGCCTCAAAAAGCAGAGCTTTCAAAGTTTTAATTCTACTCACTTTCACATTGTTTGACGTGTGTCCATTTTTAAGAAGAAAACTACTGCAGAACTGGTCAAGTGACCCAGTGCATGGCTCGATTTAGAATTTGCACTGGTGCAATCTAAAACTGCAAAATGTAACCTAATATTTATACCTACTTGCACACTGTGAATGTTCATATTTTGCTGTTAAAAAACCCAGACTTCATCTGGGAAACAGACTGATGACCAAAACTGGCTTGGAGCAATGATTACACTGACAGTGATTGAAAGAATGTTTTCATGTCATGGAATTTTATGAAGTAATGTAAAATTATCATACCAGATCCAGAATAATTTTGTTGTAATGAAGCTGTGAATCAGCAATATCAAAGCCACAAGTAATAGATAATTACAGTGTACTCTGTCAATACCGGCATCACTCGGGACCAAATAAAAATGCCGGTTTTGACAGAGTGCTGGTTTAGGGGGGTTGCAAGTTCGCTTATGACGCCAGCGCACACAGGAAGTTCAAGGTCGTACTGTCACTTTAACATTAACAACATGTCTGAATAAGAAACAAGGCAGTGTCTGAATGCACATTCATGTTTATTCATTCAAATAAAAACAAGATATATTTTGTTTACCTTGTGAAAAAGTCACTGATTTTACTTTGTATTTTGTGTGCCGATGCCTCGAGTGCAATGTCCTCAGCTGCACTTTCCAAGTTCTGCACATGATACAGAAGTCGGTTTCCTGACTGGAGGCTAAATGTTTGATCTGGGTGCACATTCTTAGAACTTCATTTAAAGTCAGTTTAGGAAACACATTTTCGCCTTCATCTTCGACGCCATTTTCGCCTTCATCTTCAGTACACTTGTTCTCAGTGTGTTTTACTTGAGATAGCAGATCTGTTTCAAATTCACTCAAGTCTGGGTTTTCAGTAGGCAAATCGCCATCACACTCGACATATTCATCGCTTGCACAGCTTGTAGTTTCCTTTGTTTATCGTGGCCACTAATGTAGCTAGAGGAATGTTGTCGCCCTTCTTCATCGCCACTGCAAACAGTTTCACACACACCAAATCCACATAAAGCAAAACACTTTGCGTAATGGTCAGGGTGTTGTCTCGCTCCAAGCCCTCGCGATCCAGTACACTGCATCTAACACCGCGTGATTGCTTTGCGTAAAGCTCATCCGCTGGAACATGTGTCCATTCTAGAGACAAGTGATCTCAAAAGATATCGACGATAACGTGCCTTAAATGCGCCGGATTACACCTTGATCTAGGGTTGCAGAACTGACGTGGTGTTTGCAGGAAGGTAGCAAAGTTTCACGCTGCTCAGACTAAGGCCATGGTTGTGGGAAGGCGTTGTCCATGAATAATAAAATATTTCTTCTTTGTCTCCGCAGATTTGCCGACATTAAGCTGCTCCAACCAATCACGATACAAGGCTGATGTCATCCAAGCTTTGTGATTGGCTCGCCAAAAAAACAGGCAATCCGTCAACACTGACATTCTTGAAACATCTGGGCGTCTGGGCCTTCCCTATTACCAGTGATTTGAGTTTTTCACCAGTGGAACTACAGCACAGCAACACAGTTAATCGCTCTTCTGACACTTTCCCACCTTTGCTGCATGTAATTTGGAAGCAAGAGTTTTGTCGGAAGAGCTCGAAAAAGAGACCTGTCTCGTCATTAATTGAAGATGTCGCCTGCAGAATAGCCGCCAGTCAAATCTGGAAGGCGGGACTTAAATGTTGCTACATCATCTGCATTCACACTGGCACTCTCGCCACTGACTTTGAATTGTTTTATGCTGTATCGTGGTTTTCCATGATGTTAACCAGCCATCTGATGCCTTAAAGTCATTAATGTCTAAATTTTGAGCAAACTGAACAGCTTTTTCTTTAAGAATAGGTCCAGAAATCGCAGGCTTTTACTTCGAGCTGCCATAAACCATTCATGTGTCATGGTGTTGATCTTGTCAAATTTGTTGTTCTCCAACACACGCTTTAGCTTGATCATTCATGTTAATTTCCAACTTCTTAATGTAATGATCCCGCTCTTCAAAATATCAGACACAGTCTGTCTGCCGATTCCGTATGTTGATGCTAATGCTTTCTGTGTCGGTCGAGGCGTTTTATCAAAATCTTCTATCAGCTGCACTTTTTGTTGAAGGGTCAACTCACATCGTGCTCGTTTTGCCGGCCGAGACATTTTGGCGATGCTGGCTATTACACGACTGACATTATACGATTTTACCTTAAATACATGTACCCTCGAATCAACTAAACTCTTGCTGGTTTTTACAGTCAAACTGCCCATGTAAGTGACACGTACCACTCACTGATTAACAAGACACTGATTAATGTAGGGGTTGGACGAAGAGCGCCATGTTTGTTTTTCAAACGGGTAACACGATGCAACACTGGTTTTCTGTAGGCTTGTGTCGAAGATAATGAACAATAACACTTAAAATTAGGACTCGTGAATATTGATAAATCATATATTCTGCAATTTTCATGACCTGACACGTTGGAATAAACATAATAGTGCCATTTGAATAAAATATGTGATGACATCGAAAAACGATTTGTTTACTTGATGAAAAGTTTTCGATTATTATTTTTCAGAAATGTTTTTAATTTGTCGTCGTGCAGATAATTGCCGATACAAATATACGAATTTGAAGTAAGATAATTAAGAGTTATCGGAAATACGAATATTGAAATCGGTTTGCGCTAATTTAATGATTTATTCAGGTTCCTTATATGAAATGCATGCCACTGTCAATCAAGTAATCCAGGTAATTTCAGGAAAAGTTACATTATTTATGTTTGCCTTGTCATTAACCTCTGTATGTTTGAAATTATTAGGATGTTTTTAGATAATAATGTTCGTTTTTCTATCTAGTATTAATGTGCCAAATATTTTTTCAGTTGTCCCTTAATTAATGACACACCGACTGTTTGAAATCACCCACCCTCTTTACAACGCCTTATGCTGAAATTAATTCAGCAGGCTAAAGATTAAATGACACAATACAGTCAGTGTCCACTGATGTAGCTGCTCACACAGGGGTTCAAAAATCCAAACGCCCGACGCCCGGGACAATCAAATAATGGTATCTTACTTGTCCGTGGGCTACTAGATAATTTCCACTTATGGTTTCAAACCGAAAATCAACTTTGATTTAATTTCATATCTGCTCAAAATGTAGCTATTACATTTCGCAATGATAATAAAGTAGAGTTATCGTTCTTTGCTATTTATCACTTTTCAATCAATAGTCCAGTAAACATTAACATCAAATACCATGTTGATTTATTCTTTCATAATTACATCATCATAATTATGTCATAAAATCAGGGCAAGTGGAAAATTAGTCAGGACAAGTTACTTTCTTAAAGTCACTTGCCCTGTGGCAAGCGGCTTTTAAAAAAAAATTTGAACCCCTGTCACACTTTTTTGATGTAGAATAACCTGTAGCTGAAATTAGTACAAAATAATTGTCCATATGAATTTCAGTTAGTCCAACAAACATGCCAGCTACAAAAGACTGATGACATTCTATGATGTTTCCACTTATTGGGCGGTGGGGTAGCCTAGTGGTTAAAGCGTTGGCTCGTCACGCCAAAGACCCGGGTTCGAATCCCCACATGGGTACAATGTGTGAAGCCCATTTCTGGTGTCCCCTGCCGTGATGTTGCTGGAATATTGCTAAAAGCGGCGTAAAACCAAACTCAGTCAGTCAGTCAGTTTCCTCTTATTGGATGAATGAGTTATTGCCTCTGATCATTTCTCACACCTGTATGTTTGCTTTGCAGGGGAAGTATTTGATTACCTAGTTGCTCATGGGAGGATGAAAGAAAAAGAAGCAAGGGCAAAATTTAGACAGGTAAGTCAGTAGTACCATATTGCCTTTCTCAGGTTTACCTTCAAAACATATCAGTTGTTGACATTTTGCCTTGCATAAGGCATCATTGTCATACCTCTTATATTGAAAGTCAAAGATTTGGAGTTCCCCTAGATTCAAATGTTTTAACACCAGTTACTTACCGAAACTGTGCATTTAGATTTTAACCAGCAAGCTTCATGAACAAGCTGGCACCTTAGTTGGTCAGGTAATACTGCAGCCTCTACTCCAGTCAATGAAAAGTCAACAATATCTAACTGGTCCACACATACTGTAATATACCTTTACAGTGTGAAATGGGGCATGGAATTGTTGCACAATGAGAATTGTACAGTTTGTCCAAAGTGCCCTTATGATTCTGTGCATGGTTGTGTCCCTTGAGAATGGCTGAAACCTTTGGTGCGGTTTGAGGACACCAATTTCACCGTGATATAGACTCTTAGCTTGGCAATTCCAAATGTGTGCTCATGGCTTTCATATCTGTGTTCACCCATGAAGGTCTGGGTTAGGATATTGATCTTCAGTAACCCATGCTTGTCGTAGAGGCGACTAACAGGATTGGGTGGTCAGGCTCACTGACTTGGTTGACACATGTCATCGGTTCCCAATTGCGCAGATCAATGCTCATGCTGTTGATACCTGGATAGTCTGGTCCAGGCTGGATTATTTACAGACCCCCACCATATAGCTGGAATATTGCTGAGTGTGGCGTAAAACTAAACTCAATCACTCACTCACTGTGTTTGTGGCTTTTACCTAAGTGGCAAGGACGTACATCACCTTGGGTTTTCCTCTTGCATTAAGCTGACATGCTGTGTCATACAACAGAACTACTGTTTAAAGTAAGATTGCTTACTTGCTGACTCTAACAACTTGACATTTCACCTAAACCCCAATTAATTTGAATTTGTGGTTTTCCATGGTACTTCACCCTTTCTGTCCCTCCTCACATGAACAATGAACCCCTAGTGATGTAAAGGAAACTTGCAAGCAGTGTAAGATGATGGAATTTGATCCTAAATGAGTTTGCACAAATTGCTGTCCAGTATGTGTTCTAATTATGACTTGGTGAGTCCATAAGTTAGGCACAGCACAGTTAACTCGCTGGGCAGGAACAGTGCAGCTGTGATTATACAGTAGGGGTCAAACATCAAGCTAATTACGTGATTAGAACCTAAGCTTGTTAATCATGGCTAGTTTAGTATTGCAAGATCATGGGCAATTACGTTATTTCAGGACATGCTTAGTCAGCCGTGACAAGTCAATAGAGATCCAGGGAACACGTTGACATTCATTTAATATGGCTATTGATTGAAGATCCACAACGTGGTCCAATGTTTTTCAGCCTTGTACATTCCGATTGTGTTCTCAGTTTGCCGTAGTATGCATGATCTGTTCACTACTGTGACAGAAGGCATGCTATTGATCAGTCTTCGTTCCATGTGTAGCTGTGCCTTGCTTAGTCTCTCGTACAGACCCTGAAGCAAATATATCCAAGAAAGCCCACACAAGTCTAGAAAATGTGGCAAGTCTAGATTTCCTCAGCTTCAGCTTCTGAAAATGAAGAAAGTCTCAGGGCTCCTTTTTATTATATATATATTTTTTACTATGAACTTTTTTCAGTATAATATGTTCATTTCAGAGACTAGTTGTTAGTCTATGCCTTGCTCTACTCAACATACACTAGCTGCTGTAGACAGGTGTTATGCAAGGGTTTGAATATGGCTGTGAATCATGAGTCAGTATACTGATGAAACATTTACCTCTTTTTAAGAAGAGACAGTATTCTCAGTATGTGCTGACTTCTTTTTAAGAAGAGACAGTATTCTCAGTATGTGCTAGAAATAATGCTATGCTTTTCAGAGAACTGTTTTGATAAATGACAACCTATGATTGTGTGGATCATTGGTCAAACCATGATTGTGTGGATCATTGGTCAAACCATGATTGTGTGGATCATTGGTCAAACCATGATTGTGTGGATCATTGGACAATCCAGATTGTGTGGATCATTGGTCAAACCATGATTGTGTGGATCATTGGTCAAACCATGATTGTGTGGATCATTGGGCAACCCAGATTGTGTGGATGATTGGTCAAACCATGATTGTGTGGATGATTGGTCAAACCATGATTGTGTGGATCATTGGGCAACCCAGATTGTGTGGATCATTGGTCAAACCATGATTGTGTGGATCATTGGGCAAACCATGATTGTGTGGATCATTGGTCAACCCAGATTGTGTGGATCATTGGTCAACCCAGATTGTGTGGATCATTGGTCAACCCAGATTGTGTGGATCATTGGTCAAACCATGATTGTGTGGATCATTGGTCAAACCATAATTGTGTGGATCATTGGGCAACCCAGATTGTGTGGATCATTGGGCAACCCAGATTGTGTGGATCATTGGTCAACCCAGATTGTGTGGATCATTGGTCAACCCATGATTGTGTGGATCATTGGTCAACGCATGATTGTGTCAAACCATGATTGTGTGGATCATTGGTCAAACCATGATTGTGTGGATCATTGGTCAAACCATGATTGTGTGGATCATTGGTCAACCCAGATTGTGTGGATCATTGGTCAACCCAGATTGTGTGGATCATTGGTCAACCCAGATTGTGTGGATCATTGGTCAACCCAGATTGTGTGGATCATTGGTCGACCCAGATTGTGTGGATCATTGGTCAACCCATGATTGTGTGGATCATTGGTCATATAACCAGCCACTAGTTTCTTTGACATAGGACTTGATTGTTTAAAAACTTTTGTATAATTCTGGCTGCAGTGGAAAACAGTGTTCACATACTTTAATAGGTCTGTATTTCATTAGAATATCCTGTTGCCACCACTAATAACCACCAGACGAAATAAATCATCAGTAGTTCAATTAACATATTGTATTTAATGTCAGAGGTCATAAGAGCAGCACACGTATTATGTGTCAGATGTCTGTGTGTCCCAGTGGCTTGAATTATGTTGTTGGTAGACAGTTGGCAGTTTTTACTGACCAGTTATTTCAACTGTTCACACAGGTCTCAGCAGGGTGTAACGTTGTGGTTAACTCTTCATGCCAAGACCCAGGTTTGATTACCAACCAGGGTACTATGTGTTAAGCCATTTCAGGTGTTCTGTTTAATATTGGTGGAATATGGGTAAGAGAAGTGTAAAACTATGCTCATGTTGAAATTTTGTTCCATACATTTATAACGTTCTTCAATATTAGATACACTGCATTTTCCAGATTTGCCCTTGGTGTTTGTCAGGGTAATTAGTTCTGTTTGAGATTTAGGTTGATTGGAATACTTGCAGCTTACACGACCATTGTAAACATGCCACCTCTATTCTGAAGTACTGAAGCACAGAAAAATTAGATTTGACAGAAAAACTTATATACAGTGAAACTGAATGAAATCTGTATTGTTCAGACAGTTAGCTTTTACTTTATTTTATAGTCATGAAATATGAAAAAGTAGAAAATATTATCGAAGAACTACATTTGATTACAGAAGTTTAAGATTATTTTTAGTTAGTTGTTACTTTCAGTAACACTCATTGTAAAATTGTGTTTTAATGAAATTAGGTCCCCATAATAAAGACATGAAGTTGTTCCAAGAACAAAGGTGAAATTTCTTCTATACCTAACATGTTTAAAGGTGTGGAAAATCAATCTACTTCATCTGTTTTAAGCTTAAGCCCCGAAATAAAACTACAAATATTCTTTATAAAAAATACAACTGAGTTTAGCATGTGAAAAATTCAGCCACCCAACCATATGAATTGACAAGAGAAATGTGTTCGAGTTGCGTGAGAAAGTGTGTTCCTCCCTCACCTCGTTCTTTCAAACCGATTCCAAATGGTAAGCTGTTATCGCCTGACTGTTGGTTAAATACTCAAGCAGCTCTGCCAGCCCCTCTAGTCAAGCATCAGCTGTGCGTTGCCAGGCAACCCAGACAATCTGAGAGTCTGCCTTCATCCCTGCCTGACTGCTTCCTCCTCAGAGGCATATGACACTTGTGTTCATCAGCAGTTATTGGGTGCCCTTGCTGGCCCAGTAGGAGAATGTCTGCACAGGCTCCACGGAAACAAGTGGTCTCTTTCCCAGTCTACTTTGATTTGAGACAGACTATGTTATCAAGAAATTAGGTTAATGGAGTATTTTAGACAAATATTTGTATTAATGTGCTACTATTTTAAGTTAGATCTAGGGTATTTAGAAATGGGAATAGTATTGATCAGTTGCAGTTTCTTATCCCTCAAGCAGCCATCTTTGAAATAATACATTGGGTAGACGTAGCTGTTTTGTCATCTTAGGGATTGTCTACGTTTGTTCAGTTCAAGAAGTCCACTATTTATTATGGACAATAACTCAGTTGCTTCGAATCCAGCTGGTTCTTACATTTTGCTGCTTTGTCTTCCCTATATACATGATGTATGCATTGAGCCTGACTTAAGAAATGTGACAGTAGACATATCTAAACTAAACCTTGACTACATTTGGGGAAAAAGCTGCTTGGCCTTCAGTAATAATGTTGAACTCATCACTAGACTGCATAGATTTATACACACAATGAACAAAAAGATTAATAATTCGCCATCTTTTATCTATTTCATAATCTATTTACAGTAGCTTCAGACATAGACTCTGGGTGTGTATGACTGTTGGTAATGCAAAGTTTCTGGAAGTTGATCTGTATTTGTAGTCTTGCACAGGTAGAATAAAGTTATGTATGAGGTTTGTTTAAGATAACTATAGATCAACCCTCAAGTCAACCAAATAAATGCAAGTGCTGAAAAGGGGAATGGAATGGGGGTGTGGTTGTTGTGTAAAATATATGCTCTAGCTTCAGTAGGAGAACCTAATGATTTGTAGAGCTACTCTGGCAGCCCTTTGAGAATGTGAAGTCAGTGGTAAATGGGAACAGTTCTTAATCAATGTAGTTATCTGATATCCTTTGATGTAAGAATATTCTAT